GCCGCTCTAAAGCCACTGTGCTTTAGTTTGGGCTAGGTAAGGGAGACACATTGTGTTGTGCAACAGTACTGGTCCTCAATGGCTAATCAAACCGGCAATTACGGTTCTGATTCCTGAGCCAGGAACAGCCTTCTCCTACTTAGAATTCAGTTAATTAGAATGAAAGTGCTGTCAAGGCCATTAGACCCGCTGTTAATCATACTCTTTAAATTTAATGATCCAAAGAATATACATTTTAAAAAATATTTATGTCATGTGGCAGAAATCATAGTTTTTGTGTGCGGTGCTACCAGGAAAGCAGCGAAGCTGTGACATGAAGCTCTGTGAAGGAAGACAGTGGAGAGAGCAGAAGCCCACAGTTTTGTTTTCTGAAGGGAAGTTATCGCTGTTCTGAGGCACTCCTGCAAGGCCAGGGGAGGGAGAGGGGTGCAAGGCAATCTGGCCTGTGTTGGGCTCCAAGTGAGAAGGATAAGAGAGTCATTAGGCAATATTCAGCAGCAAGCAACTTTCAGCCGGGCCAGGAAAGGCTCGATACAGTGCTGTCTGCAGGATTTGAGATGTCACTGCTGCAGGGAGTGGTGATCTGGTCACCAAAGAGCGTTCTTCCTTGGGCAGCTGGGCCTCTGGCTAAAAGAGTGAGATGGATTTGATTGGGTCTGTTTCAGGGCTTAGTCATATAGTCCATATTTGGACTGGGGGGTACCCGGAGTCCAGGTATCTGTTCTCATGAAGTGCTGACATTTCTGAAAAAGGAGAGAATTCCAAGTCAGAACTGAAGCTTGGGCATTGCTTTTCATGTCTAGATTGAAAAGAGAAAATAAACCATGGAAGAACAGGTTCTTTTAAGAGTCAGTATGCTGCTTTTCCTAGATAATTCCTGAAAGCCTAAACTTGGCAGAAAGGAGGTATGGTATAGGCTTTGCGTATGCTTCCACTTTCCATGCTTCTCTGTGGCAGGCACGGCAACTTTCGAAGTTCTTCCAGCCAACACACTGCTGTTGCAAAAGACAAGGGAAGCTTAAAGCAGATCTGAAACGTGTAAATGTTATGTTCAAGTCTAAAAAAAATAAATTTAAAAAAATAAGGAACTGGAAATGAAGACACCATGTTGAAATGCAAATGTTGAGCAACCTTGCAAGTGATTGCTGGGATTTACAGGTCAGCCTTAATGAAGGCGACACTGACACTGCCAGACCCAAGCATAAGGAGATAAGCATCTGTCTCAAAACAAAACCCCCAGAATAACAACGACCTTTGGAATCCCACTACTGTCACTATTTTTTGGCAAAAAAAAATTCACAAATTTTATGTAGAAAAAAAATTGATCTAGACAATAATCGATTCCTTGCTTGAGCAAGGGCTGCAGGCCCTGAACTGTGTTCTTAAGCATTTTCATCTTTGTTGAGAGGGGAGAGAGGATCCACACAAATATTGCGAGACAGAAACAGAGGCAGATCAAGGAAGATGGAAGTGGAAACCATAGGATTTCAAATCTGGCAGAACAAAAGGAAGTGGAATAAATGGGGAGCTCAGAAGTTTATTTCCTGTCCTGGTCTGCCACTGATGCAAGGTGTTGCTGTGGAGGAACTACAGTTACTTGCAAGGCACTAAACTATAAGGGCTTCTGCAGCTCACAGTGTGAACAATGGAAGAGAAATGAGTGAAGGGGTAGTCAGTGGAGCAGTAGCAGATATTAATTACAACACTTTGCATCCCTCTCAGAGGTGTGTGCCCTAGCACAGGGCAGCTCCTGTGAAACCACTGCGCTGTTTCTTCTCAGACATGCGCAACCCATGTCCTGCCTAGCCAACGATGAGGCGCAGGGTACAGGAGACCCAGGTGAACACATTCCTCCAAAATAAACAGAGCAGAAACTGATGGATGGCGTGAAGCCATGCATCCAAATAGCCTGCTCCAGTGCACTCTCATACCTGAACTGCTGGAAAATCAACCGCTACAGATGGTGTCG